ATCAGAGAAAACCCAAGATGCAGCAACGATGCTGTGATATGCCCTCCCGCTTCGAGTTCTATCCTGTCTTCTTCCGCAAGGAGCGCCCCCACCTGGAAAACTCAGCACTTTCCCAGGCCTGCCATTCCGTCGGCAGCCTCGTTTTGACCAGGGACTGCCTTCACGAATCTCGGCGCAGAGCCAAACATATGCCACAGTGTGAGATCATACAGTTCAACGGGTTGTCCAGCGGCATCCCCGTGTTGGAGACAAAACACCGTTCCCTGCCCATGTAATTGTTGCACCAAGCTGCGCGTCTGGTCGTGGACTGCGAGGAGGTGTCAAGCGATTGCCCACTTTGAAGAGGCACCCTCTGTGCTTGTGAATGGTGCACGCGTTTAAGACAAGCGGGCGCGGCGCGAGTGCGAGAGCCCCATTTTGAAAAGGAGCAGCCCTACATCCGTCCAGCCGTTGCAAGTTTTGGAGACGACTGTGTGCGGCGCTAAAGCGAGAACCCCGTCTCGAAGAGGAGCCGCCCTCAATCTTTGTAGCTGGATGCAGCCTCTCTGCGGCGCTCAGGCGAGAGCATCATTTTGAAAACCACGCTTCAGCCTTGTTGGCGCTTTGAAGGCAAATGTTCGCGGCGCTGCCAGGAGGGCCCCATGTTGAAAATTCTGGTCTCCCAGTCCTTGTAATTGCTGCGGACGTTCAGCTTCAGGACCATACGCGGTGTGGACATCTTGGGCGAAACGCCTGGCCCGGCCCAGCAGAGCGCATGTAAGTGCGAAAGAGAGGAGTACTCGACAAGCAATATAGACGGATGACGAGGCAGAGGGGGCGGGAAACGGAGGAGGGGCGGAGGACGAGGCTGCGGAGGAGAAGTGGGAGGGAGCGCGGTGGGGGGGACACGCGTGGGGAGAACCAGTCAGGTGCGCTCACGCCACATCTGACATCCTGCCCCTTCCAGCCGGCCCGTCCCGCTGCGTTGAGTTCTCTTCTGCTCGCCAGCCATGCTGTCCTAGAAGACCTTAGCAGTCCCAGGGTTTGACCCAGCGCTCGCTACGTAATTGGGGCAGTGGCTGTGTGCATTGACTGTGGAGGCGGACGAGCAGGAGGATAAGGACAACAAAGGATCAGGAACATGATGACCACGTGGAGCAAGAGGACAAGGGGAAAGCGGAGGAAGGAAAACGAGGTGCACAGAAGAGTGGCCAGCGTTAGAGCGAGAGCGCCAGTCTGAACGACGAGGGCAAAACAGTGATCCTGAAATGTGGCTACGCTGCAGCGGCAGTACCGCTTTGAATGACCAAATCTGCTCGATGTGAACAGCAGGCAGGACATACCAAACCATACGATCCTGTTTTTTGGCAGAGTAATGCGCGAGTGATGCGACAGCAAGGCTGAAAATGTCAGGGGAGGGAGCATTCATACAAAGGTATCTATACAAGGAGGAGGACGACGAGGACATGGAGGAGGAACATGGAGGAGGACGGCGAGGAGGAGGAGGAGGAGGAGGAGGAGGAGGAGCAGGGGGGGTAGAGGCGAAGGAGGGGGGGATGAGGAGCAGCAGCTGGAGGGGGAGGGAGAAGCTGGAGGGACGAGGAGGGCCGAGCTGGAGGATTCAGATGAGCCAGATGTCCAGAAAGGGGGAGGGGTGGAAAGGTGGAGGGCGAAGTGGAACAGGATGATTTTGCTGCTGATGATGCTGCTGCTGATGATGAGGAGGATGATGATGCTGATGATGATGATGGTGATGATGATGTTGTTGTTGATGATGATGATGATGATGATGGTGGTGGTGGTGATGATGATGAGGATGATGATGCTGATGCTTATGCTGATGCTGATGCTGATGATGATGATGATGATGCTGATGATGATGATGATGATGATGATGATGATGATGATTATGATGATGATGAGGAGGAGGAGGAGGAGGAGGAGGAGGAGGAGGATAGGAGGAACAGGCGACTGATGAGGAGCCTGGACAACTGTAATAGCGATAAACAAACCAAGGGGGATCAGCAAATGGAAGCGTAGGTTTGTGAGGTGGAGGACGACAACGACGAGTAGGAGGAGGAGGAGGAGGAGGAGGAGGAGGAGGGGAGGAGGAGGGGAGGAGGAGGAGGAGGAGGCGGGGCGGGGGATGTCGTCACGGACCAGAGTAAGCCCAATCTCATGACCTTCGGCCCATCCCGCCCCCGTGCCTGGCGCTCGCTCGCCTACGCCGGGGCAGCCAAGGAGCAGGAGGAGGAGGAGGCGGGCCGAGGGCTGAGGACGGATGGGTGCAAGGGGGGGTGGCAGCGGGCAAGAGGGCTGCCTCGTCGTGCGCGGCGGGAGCCTTCGAAGAGTAGGCGGAGGAGTGAAAAGGGAAGGGGCAAGGGGAGGGGGGTGGGAAGGGGAAGGGGGAGGAGAAAGAGGAGGAGGAGGAGGAGGAGGAGGAGGAGGGGAGGAGGAGGAGGAGGAGGAGGAGGAGGAGGAGGGGGGAGGGGGAGGGGGATGAGGAAGAGGAGGAGGGGGATGCGGAGGGAGAGGAATCAGATAATTCAGGCTCGATGATCGAGGCTTGGAGGCGCTCTTGTGCTTTTGAGGGGGCCTCTGGAGGCTTCCGCAAACCTCGGGAAGAGGATGGAAACGAAGAGGGGAGCTTCGGGAGTGTGAGGGAACGGAAGAGGAGGGGGGATGATGAGGTTAGAAGAAGAGGCGGGGGAGGCGGAGGATGAGGAAAAGGAGGGGAAGGACGAGGAAGAGGAGGAGAAGGAGGAAGGGGGGGATGATGGGCTCGGAGGAGGATGTGGAGGAGTACGAGGAGCAGGACAAGGAGGAGGATGAGGAGGAGGAGGAGGAGGAGGAAGAGGAGGAGGTGAAGGAAGATGAAGGTGTGGAGGAGGATGACGGGGGGGGGGTGATGGGCTTGGAGGAGGATGTGGAGGAGTACGAGGAGCAGGAGGAGCAGGAGGAGCAGGAGAAGCAGGACCGATGGTGAGCGTAAGGAGGCTTGGGAGAAGGGAGAAAAGGAGGAGGAGGAGGAGGAAAAGGAGAAGAGGGAGCAGCTGGAGGGAGAGGAAGCAGCGGGATCTGGACAAGGATCTGGAGATGGAGGTGGAGGTGGAGGAGGAGGAGGAGGAGGAGGAAGACGGGGCCAGGGAGAAGGAGGCGGAGGGGGGGAGAAGGAGCGGTGAAGGGATAATGATGACGAGGAGGAAGGGGCGCGAACAGACGGCTGGAGGGGGAAAAGGACCCGCACGGCGAGGAGCAGGGGCAGGAGCAGGGGAGGGAGTGTCGAACATCGGTGGGGAGAGACCGCGGCCCCCAGCCCCACGCCCTCTCCGACGCCTGCTCCGCCCTCGCCGGCCACGACGCCGGCCCCGCCGTCGGCTCCTCCCTCGCCGGCCCCCACGGCGGCCCCGACGCCGCCCCCCACGCCGGCCCCGACGCCGGCGCTGCTGTGCGTGAGCGGCCGGGTGGGCCTGCAGGCCGTGGGCGCGCAGGGGCAGGTGCAGGGCGCGGCGGCGGCGGCGCTGGCCCGGGCCCTGGGCGTCGACGAGGCCGAGCTCGTCGTCGCCGTGGCGCAGGCCAGGCGGAGGGCCTATAGACCCCCTCGAGTCATGAAGAAATCACGACGCGATGTTTTTCACTATTTTCGGCCTCTGGGGGCCCTTACCGGCCCTCAGGACCGTCAAAAAACGGCTCGGGATGAAAAGCCGGTCCCAGGGAATGGGTCTGGACCTCTGGGGGTCGCGTCACGAAAAAATCATGACGTCGGGGATCTGGGGGCGGAGCGGGGGGCCGGGGGGAGGGGGGAGGGCTTCTCAGAAGGAGGCTGCCTCTGAGAGGGCGCCGGCCTTGCATTTTTTGACCAGGCCCGCGCCTTCCAAGAAGCAGGGGTGCTTCTGAGAAGCCTTCCCCCCTCCCCATACCCCCCTGTGCGCGCCGCCGAACAGGCCAGGCGGATGGCGGAGCGGGGGCTGCCGGAGCGGCGCGCGGAGGACTGGGCCGTCGCTTACCAGTACCTGTCCGGCGACGTGCGGTCCCTGGCCGTGGTCCACCAGGCCGCCCTCGCCATGGCCTCCGACACCAGCGAGTTCGTCACCGTGCTCGCGGCCGCGTGCGCAGGCGCGGGCGTGACGCTCGTCGCCGGCAGCGTGACAGTCGCTCAGCCAGAGCTCGAAGTCCTGGCGCGGCCCCTCGCTCCGCCGAACGGGCCGGAGACGACGCCGCCAGAGGAGGAGGATCGGGTCGGACGAGATCAGAGCCCCGAATCATCAGGGGCAACTCGGGTCAGGGCTAACTCGGGCTTGTTTTTCGGGAGTCCGAGCCCGAAGTACCCCAGGCCCGAGCTACCCGGGATCATTCGGGCGTCCAGAGCCCCGAACCATCAGGGGTAACTCGGGTCAGGGCTAACTCGGGTTCATTTGTCGGGATCCCACACCCGAGTTACCCCGGGCCCGAGCTACCCCGGATAGCTCGGGCGCCCAACGAGGGGGGGGGTGACAGGGAAGTGGGGGGGGGGTCTGCCCGGCCCGCGCAGGTCTGCTGCGCTCTCCCCCGTCGAGGGCTGCTCTCCCCCCCTTCATCCGTGAGTCGGGCCTGTCCCTCTACAGGAGGAAGAGCAAGGGCGCCCTCGAGGGCGCGAAGTTGTTCGCGCTTCGCGCTTCGCGGTTCGGCTCCTCGAGAGCGCGAAGTGTTTCGCACTTCGCGCCTCGCGCAGCGCGAAGCGCGAAGCTGGGAGCCCTTGAAAAGTCAAGAATAGCGAACAATAGTCTGGGGACGATTCTGCGTGCTCTTTTGACTATCAGGTTTTTTAGCGATGCTTCGTTTTTCGCCCACGATCCGCCTGCAGGAGGCCATGCCCGGCCTAACCTCATCTCCAACTCTCGTTCAGCCTCGCCCCGCCTCCCCACCCCTCGCCCTCCTCGGTCCTGTGCTGTGCCGCCCCAGGGCTCCCAGCAGCTTCAAAGTTCCCCAGCTCCCGCCCGAGACCTCACTCCCAGCCCTGCCGTGCACCCAGGAGGCTTACGCCATTCCGCCGACCCCCCAGAGGCAACGACGTCTGCTGGGTTGGCTCCCGAGCCTCCTGGGGGCCGCTTCGGGCCTCCGGGGGCGCCTGCGGGCGGTCTCGGGCGTGCTCGTGGGGCGGAGGCCTCGAAACTCCAGCTCGAGCCACCCCTCTGGGGGCCCCTCCTGGCGCCAGTCCCCAGCCCTGCCCTTCACAGCGGGGACCCGTGCCAGGAAGCACCCTGCTTGCCTCCAGGGTGCCCTGGGCCTCTTGGGCTCGGCCGGTTCTGCGACGGCAGGCGTGACGTTCCCGCTCCGAAGGCCAGTGGATGTCCTGGGGCCTCAGAGTTGGGCTTCCTGTGGAAGGTTTCTTGTGGACGTGTCCCTACTGTTCGGCTACGCGCAGCAGGGGGGTGGGGAGAGGGGGGGAGGGCTTCTTAGAAGCACCCCCGCTTCTTAGAAGGCGCGGGCCTTCTCTACGGATGTAAGGCCGGCGCCTTCTAAGGAGCAGCCTCTCTCTCTGAGAAGCCCTCCCCCCTCCCTCCACCCCCTGGTGCGCGCCGCCAAGCTGCGCTCTGCCCCCCTTCCCGTCCTGCCCGAGAGGAGGCCTCCCTCCGCTTCTGCTTCCTCGTGTGGAACCTGGACCTGGGGCTGCTGCGCCAGGGCGGCCTCGAGCCGGCCGCGGAGGAGGCGCGAAGGGCCCATGGGGAGACACCCTGACGTCGGGCGCGTCCCTCCATGCATCGGAGGTGGACAGAACCCCCAGCAGTGACACGTCGATGAGTGAATTGTCCGTTTTCGGTTCTCGAGAGGGTGCCGTGGCCCTTATTTTCCAGGCTTGCGCCCGCCAGGTCTGGGCCTCAGGTCGTTTTCATGAAACCACGTTTTACTGAAGGGAGGTCTATCCATCCCCGAATGCAGGAGGAATATTCAAAAACAGTCGAACAATAGCCTGGGGACGATTCTTGGTGTTTGTTCCGGCTAGTTTGGGACATTGTGGGTACTATTTTTTATTTTTCTGCCAAAATCCGCCTGTCGGAGGAGATGCCTGACCTACACATATGTCCCCTATATCTTCACACATTTTCGGCCCTCCATCTGTTCGATTCTCTTCATGGAGCTCAGCTGTGTTTGTGTCTGTGTCCAGCTTCCCTCCTGAGAGGCGATTCGGACCGCGGTGGCCACCCACGCGGGCACCGGTGTCTCGGCCAGCGCGGCGCTGACGCAGCCATCCCCGGGCGCGGTGGCGGTGGACGTGGCCCTGACGGACGTGGCGTCCACGGTGCTCTCGGGGGCGTCCAACCCTGACCTTCGGAGTGCTAAAACAGTGACCCTTCAGACCTATGTGCCTATCTGGACTGCTTAAGACCTCGCCAGGAATTTAGACGCCAGCGTCCTGGTGCTATTTTTTGGCTCTCGTGGAAGTCGGGGAAGAGGTGATGACTGGGGGGGGATCTCATGGCCAGGGCCGCGATGTCTGCCCGGGCGGCATGGCCCCCTCTCCTGATCACAAGCCGCCCCCTGGCCCCCTCCCCTCGTCAGCGCACCTGCCTCCGGCCATGAGTTCTCTTGAGCGTCCCCGATGCTCGAAGAAGAGCAAGCAGCATACACGGACGTAAGTTGTTGGAGCTCCGCGCGGATTTCTCGGATCTGCACCTGGGCCCACCCCCGGCGCCGCCCTGGGCGCCGCCCCGCGCGCCTGGCAGGGGTTTCAGCGCAGATCCGGGAGAGCCGCGCGGACTGTCGAACCTTCAGAGGCGGGAATGTACGCATGACCACCGCCCGGAGGATCAACTTTGGGGAACCTCAGGCGATGGATATGGACATATTCGGGCCCCTGGGCCAAAATATATTTATACCCACCGCCCACTGGTGGGCTCCCAAGCGGTGTATATGGATGAATCCCCGCCTTGCATTCTATGTTCATGCCGCGTTTTTTTCTTCCTCGAGGTGTCCGCGACATGGTTCGCCGTGAGCTCCTCCGAGGAGCCGTTCCTGCTGGCCGTGGTGGGCAGCCTGAGCGGCGTGGCCGGCATCCACGTTGCCACGACCGCGGCTTAGCTGCCGTGATACGCCCGTGCCCGTGAAGACACGCAGCACGTACGTGCCGTGCTCCGAACGGCCGGGCTGAACACGCTGCCGTTGCGTGTTGGCTCAACGTGCCGGCCCACGTGTTGGCGAACGTGTCGCGCCCCACGTACGTTGTCATTCAATCCACGTCGTAAATCGAAGAAAAGCCGGAAACATAAACTGTCGACGCGCCGCGCGGTTTTCCTGGGTCGACGCTTGGGCCCCCCCGGCGGCGCCTCCGGCGCGGCCCCTGGCGCGCTCCGCGCGCCAGGGAGGGGGGTCCGGCGCAGGTCCAAGACATCCGCGCGCAGCGCCGAAAGCTGATGTCTATAGCGTTCCTCTCTTCAAGGGAAGCTCCGTGCCACCTCGGCTTTCAAGTCGCCCGAGGGCCCTCAGCCCCCAGCACTGCTCCGCATTTGAATGCGGACCACCTTGTCGTCAGGTAACCAAACAAAGCCAGCGAGAACTGGGGGTTAAAAAAAAGGGAAGCTCCGTGCCACCACGCTCCGGGTGGGGTGCTGCGTCCTGGGGCAGCTAAGGACTGCGGACCTCCGCGCCGGCGACGTCCGGAGCGGCGCCGCCTCCTGCGCGGGCCCACCCGCGGCGGCCGCGCTCGCCCCCGCGGGCGCAGAGGCCGGCGAGGCAGAGGCGGGGCCGGCGGTCGCCGCCGTGGGCGGCGCCGCGATCTGCTGCGCAGGCCTCGTGCTCGGCCTCTGCGCCGGAGCCTTGCGAGCGGCGAGCGGGGGAGGGGGAGGAGGAGGGGGAGGGGGAGGAGGAGGAGGAGGAGGAGGAGGAGGAGGAGGAGGAGGAGGGAGGAGGAGGAGGAGGAGGAGGAGGAGGAGGAGGAGGAGGAGGAGGAGGAGGAGGAGGAGGAGGAGGAGGTGTCCGTGTCCGGGCCATCGGTCTGTCGTCGGCGAGCGAGGGGGGGAAGTGAAAAGGAGAAGGCCTTTTGTCAGAAGGCGGCGGGGCTTCTGAGAAGCCCTCGCGCATTCGGGGAGGCTTTTTTTGTTGTCTTTGGGGGAGGCTCAGAAAGCTTTTCGGAAGGCCGGGGGACTTCCGAGACCTCTGAGAAGGCCCGCCCTTCCTCACTTCCCTCCTTCGCTCGCCGCCGAGTCTGGGTTGCGGGGCGCGATCCCGCGGATGCGCGGTTGCAGCCCTGACCTTCCAGAATTCCAAAAAGCAGCCCTCCAGGCCTATTTTGCTCCATCTGGACTGTCTCAAACTTCGACCGGAATTTAGACGTCTAGATCCTGGTGCTATTTTTTGGGGCCCTCCTGGAGGGTCAGGGAAGGATGCCGTGCCGCGCGGGGCCGCCGCGGAAAACAAGCGCCGCATACTGCGAGGCCGCGAATATGCGGAAATGTGTGTGTGTGTGTGTGTGTGTGTGTGTGTGTGTGTGTGTGTGTGTGTGTGTGTGTGTGTGTGTGTGTGTGTGTGTGTGCGTGTGCCTGTGTCTGTGTGTGTGTGTGTTTCGCCCCCCTTCGAGGAGCTCAGTGCCGGCGCGGGGCCAAGAGGTATGGCCCCGGCGTGGACCTGCCCAGCGGAGCGAGCTTCGCCATCTCGGAGCCAGTGATTGTCCATCCGGACAGCGCCGGCAACGTGGCGGTTGGGGGGCGCGTGGTGGGATGGGGCGATGAATTGGGGGGCAGCGACGGCTGCCAACAAGGGGAGATTTGGAGTCCCCGAAGGAGCCCTGCCGGGCCCCAGCGGGGGCCCGAAGAGGGACCCAGGGGGGCACCTTTCCTCGCGCCCAAGGTGGCGCGCTCCGCCAGCAAGGCCTCGAGTGCGAGCGCGGGCAGCGGTGTCGGCGTCAAGGCTCGCAGAGAGCGGCTGGACGCGAACCCGCAGGGCGTCGGCAGCAGGAGGAGCGTGCGGGTGGCGACGATGGGCATCGAGGTGCCAGTGGGTGTTCGCGGTGGCCAGCTGGCGAATGCGGCGACGCCCTACGGGAACACAGTGCGCTTCATCGTCCCCGAGCAGGCAAGTTCGTTAGCAAATCACGGGAGCCACTGCATCCCCTCGCAATTCCGTCTTGACAGCGCACTCGCCGCGAGTTTGCGTCTGGTGGTCGAAGAGATGTTTAGGGCCGATGTAGCGTCGGCTCGCGTCGGCAAGCGTCGAATCGCAAGAGCCAGCAAGATGACATTTGAGGCTCCCAGAAGTTGCCACCGCAGGCCAAGCCCGGAGACACCATCAGCGTGAGCTACGAGGTCCCCGACCACGTGCCTGTCAAGTTCGACGAAGAAGAGCTGTTCACCTACAGCACATGCACAGCGCTGACTTGGCCCATGTACTGGACCAACATGCGGCACGCCAACAACCTCGCGTTCGACCAGATGTTCTACGTGCAGACGGAGCTCAACTGGGTCTTCCAGCAGCTGCTCCAGAGGAAGCAACATCTGCAGAAGCACACTTCTTGAGCTTCGCTCGGGCTTCCAGGATCTGCGCTGGACCCCCCCTCCACTGGCGCGCGGAGCGCGCCAGAGAGGCGGCGCCGAAGAGGCGCCGTCAGGGGGGGGCCCCGGGCGCCGACCCGAGAAGTCCGAGAAGGACCTCTGGGAGCTCATGTGTTTGATGCAGTTGTTGACCTTCCTCTCTCCTCACCAGCACCTACGCCCGCCGGGTGACGCAGGACCGCCCGTGCCCCACCGGGAGGTGCCCGCCGACCAAGGCCGGGCGGGGCCGGGGCTTAAGGACAGGATGAGCTTGTGTTCCACCACCACCACCACCACCAGAAGTTGGAGGGGGAAGGAGGAGGAGGAGGGCGAGGGGGAGGAGGACGAAGAGGAGGAGGAGGAGGAGGAGGAGGAGGAGGAGGAGGAGGACCCCGCCATCCAACTCATGGTGGTGGTGGTGGAAAACACGCCCATCAGGACAGATCCGTTCCGGGGCGTTCCGGACGGCTCTCAGAGCGTTCTGGACCGCTCTGAGAAGGCCACGTCGCCCGAGACATCCCCCCAGAGCCGCCGGATGTCCGAGACTCGTGAGGTATCCTCATCCGGATCTGTCCTCGGCCTGGCCTTGTCTTACCAGGGGGGCTGTCCCTGCGTGCGACCCGGTGGGACTCCCGGCCTTCCCACCGGCTACCACGTGCGGCGCGTCGTTCGCGTCGAGGACTCACGGCTGTGGAGCAACTACGCGGGCAGGCCCTGCACGGTCGAATCGAGCACGGAAAGCAGGGTGGCGGGGACCGACAGCAGTTCTTGGTGAGGCCTCGGGTTCCGCACGGACAGCCAGGACTGGACTCAGACGGTGTTTGGGCAATCTCGTGGGCCGTTTTGTGCTTCGGTTTGCTTTGCATTCGAGGCGAAGCGAAGGCAGAAGGAGGAAGAACGAACAACAAAACGAACATGACTCGGGCGAAGAGAACTATGCACATTCACCGATCCTGGCAAGGCCCATCCTTGACCCAGGATCGGTGCATGTGCCCTCCTGGCCAAGGTAGGAGGGCGCATGCACCGATCCTGGGCTCAGGATGGGCCTGGCCAGAGTCGGTGCATGTGTACAGTTCTTTTTCCTCTAACGACAAGCACCGCTTGGGTTCAGCCCTGCGACGTTTTGGCCATCTCGTGGGCCGTTTTGCTCTTCTTTTTTTTTGCATTCGAGGCGAAGCGAAGGCAGAAGGGGGAAGCGCGAACAACAGAACGAGCACGACAAGCACCGCTGAGGTTCGGCCCCGCGGACAGCTCCCCTCAGGCAGTCCTGGCTGGCCTCCGCGGGCTCCCCCGAGTAGCCCGGGGCGGGCTCAGCACCGGGGCGCCGCCTCCGGGCGGTCAACACCCGGGGGCGCTCCACGCCCCAGGGTCGGCTTGCTCGGGGGGCCTGCCGAGGCCAGGCAGGTGCTGTGCTTCTCGGGAGGAGAGAAGTACACACAGAGGCACAATGAATCGTCGATCCCCCAGGAAGACTGTGGGAAACTATGGGCAGTGGGGGGGAGCACAGAAGCCCAGGAGATCTGCGAACACATGGGGGATCCTTTCGACTTGTGTGTATTTGTTTGTGTGTCCCAGGGCCTCTTCATCTTCATCGTTGTCTGATTGTTCTTATTCTTATTTTTATTCGTAGTACGATTGGTTGTATGATTAAGCATGTTATCCGTACCGTTAGTATTGTTTGCAGTACGAGCAATATTACTATTATTAGTGTTATGCTCATTATTGTTATACTTGTTGTTCATAGTATGATGTGTTTAGTAGTACTGCTGGTACGGCCAGTATTATTATTATTACGACTACTACTATCATGATTACTACTACTTTCACTACGACGACGACGACGACGACGACGACGGCGACGACGACGACGACGACTACTACTACTACTCGTACTACTAGTACGAGTACTAGTACTACTCTCTACTAATAGTATTATTGTTATCCTAAGATTACTACTACTACTACTACTACTACTACTACTACTACTACTACTACTACTACTACTACCACTACCACTATCACTACTACGACTACGACTACGACTACGACTACGACTACTATTGCTACCACTACTGCTACTACTACTACTACTACTACTACTACTCCACGACTACTACTACTACTGCTACTACTACTACGACGACTACTACTACTACTACGACCACTACTACGACTACTATTATTATTACTACTACTACTACTTTCACTACCACTACCACTTCTTCTGCTACTAGCACTTCTTCTGCAATGCCTACTACCACTACTAATACACATTCAACTACTATTTCGACTACTGCTGTTACTATTGCTAGTAGTGTTACTACTGATTATTGATACTACTTCTACGCCACTACCACTACCACTACCACTACCACTACCACTACCACTACCACTACCACCACTACTACTACTGCTACTACTACTACTACTACTACTACTACCACCACTACTACTACTACTACTACTACTACTACTGCTACTACTACTACTACGACGACTACTACTACTACTACTACGACTACTACTACTACAACTACTACTACTACTACTACTACTACTACCGTACTACTACTCCTTACTAGACTACGACTACTACTACTACTACTACTACTACTACTACTTACTATACTACTTTACTTCTACTACTAACTACTACTACTACTACTACTACTGCTTACTACGCTACTACTTTACTACTACTACTACTACTCCTGCTACCCCTTCCTACTACTACTACTACTACTACTACGACTACTACTACTACTACTACTACTACTACTACCTACTTACTACTACTACTACTACTAGTACTACTATACTACACTACTACTACTACTACTACTACTACTACTACTACTAGTACTATACTACTACTACTTACTACTACTACTACACTACTACTACTTACGACTACGACTACTACTACTACACTACTACTACTACTACTACTACTACTACTACTACTTTACTACTACGACTACCTACTACTACGACTACTACTACTACTACTACTACTACTACTACTACTACTATACTACTTACGACTACTACTACTACTACTACCCTACTACTACTACTACTACTACTTACTTACTACTTATTCTTACTACAACTACTTCTACTACTACTTCTACTACTACTACTACTACTACTACTACTACTACTACTACTACTACTACTTACTACTACTACTACTATACTACTACTACTACTACTACTACTACTACTACTACTACTACGACTACGACTACTACTACTACTACTACTACTACTACTACTACTACTGCTGCTGCTGCTGCTGCTACTACTACTACTACTACTTTGAGGGGGGCGTCTGTGGGCAACCCGAAGTGTTTGACCATGAAAAAGCCCGACAGCAGTTCTTGTCTCTTGTGATCAGGGCTTGCTGTTGGTGGTCTGTGTCGTCGCCGACGTTGTCGAGACAAGAAGTCGCCTGTCCAACAGCGACCGCTGTCGGTTTTGGACAACGCTTGCTGTCGGGCATCGTGCGCATTTCGGGCCAGAAGGCGGAACGTGATTCGCCGGAGGCGCGGCGCGGACCTGCCGCTTCCTCGCCCAGAGCCGCCGGTGAGGACGGACGAGCTGACCCGCGCGCACCCGGAGGTCTTTGAGCCCCTCGACAGCAGCATCAACGAGCTCTACTTGTGGCACGGCACTTCTGTGAGGAAGGCGTTGTCCATCGCGCAGACCGACTTCGACATGGCGCTGGCTTCCCGTAACGGCGGCGGCATGTACGGCAATGGGGCCTACTTCGCCGAGAGCAGCACAAAGGCGCCAGAGCGTCGCCTTCGTCCTCCTCGTCCTAACCCCGTCCCCTCCAAGCCACAATCCTCCCCCTCGCTTCGTCCTTCGGTAGCAACTCATGGGACCCTGGTACGTCCTCGAAATTCTGTCGCTCGGGTGATCGGTGTCAAGGCGCCGATTAGCGTCGATTAGCGTCGGTCGGCGTCGACTCGCAAGAGCCAGCCAGATGACGTGGGAGGCCCGCCCTGCCCGCTGGCGCGGCGCGCCGCCTGGCGTGCCCCCGCGGCCCCGGCCCGCCCGAGCGCCGCGCCGTAATTTGACCTCGCCCGCACGGCCCTTGCCGGGCTGAGCGCCCCCGGCTGGGCCGACGGGGGCGACGGCGCGCCCGGCGGTGCGGACGCGGCAGGCGACCTCGGGAAGGGCCGCGCGCGGGGCACCTACCGAGTGCAGGCGCGAGGCAAAGACTCCGAGGCGAGCAGCGCCGGCGGCGGCGCGAGACGCTGCCGGGCGGCTGGGGGCGCGGGCGCGGCTGGAGGGCGCCGCGGGGTGGCGGCGGCACCGCGCGGCGGCAGCGGCGGAGGCCTGTGGACAGCCGCTGCTGCTGGGTGCGGCAGCCAGCTCGGGGGCGCCGCCGGGGGCTGCCACGGCGGCGACGCGCCGGGCCCGGGCTGCTCTGGCGCCGCCAGGGAACGGCCGCGGCCAGGGCGCGGCGGCGGCAGCGAAGTTGGCGGCCGGCGGCCCGCAAGCGGCGGCGTGCGGGTGGGCAGGCGCGCGCGGCGCGTCGTCCGCTCTCCCGGGGGGGCCCCCACGGACTGGGCACTCCTTGGGGCAATGAGGGGGAGGAAAGGAGGGGGAGGAGGAGGAGGAGGGAGGAGGGAGGAGGAGGGATGGAGGAGGAGGAGGGAGGAGGAGGAGGAGAGGAGGAGGAGGAGGAGGAGGAGGAGGAGGAGGAGGAGGAGGAGAGGAGGAGGAGGAGGAGGAGGAAGGAGGAGGAGGAGCGAGGAGGGGCGGAGGGGAGGAGGAGGAGGGAGGAGGAGGAGGAGGAGGAGGAGGAGAGTGGAGGAGGAGGAGGCGGAGGAGGAGGAGGAGGAGGAGGGGAGGGAGGAGGAGGAGGAGGGAGGAGGAAGGCGGAGGAGGAGAGGAGGGAGGAGGAGGAGGAGGAGCGTGCGGAGGCGGAGGCGGAGAGGTAGGAGGAGGAGGAGGAGGAGGAGGAGTAGGAGGAGGAGGAGGAGGAGGACAGGAGGAGGAGGAGGAGAGGAGGAGGAGGAGGAGGAGGAGGAGGAGGAGGAGGAGGGGTGAGGGGGAGGGGGGGAGGGGGAGGGGGAGGAGGAGGAGGAGGAGGAGAGGGGAGGGGGAGGGGAAGGGGGAGGGGGAGGGGGTGAGGGGGAGGGGGAGGCGGAGGAGGAGGAGGAGGAGGAGGAGGAGGAGGAGGAGGAGGAGGGAGGGGAGGTGGGTGGAGGAGGAGGCGGAGGAGGAGGAGGAGGAGGAGGAGGAGGGGAGGAGGAGGAGGACGAGGAAGCGAGACGAGGAGGAGGAGGAGGAGGAGGGGAGGAGAGGAGGAGGAGGATGGGAGGGGGAGGGGGAGGGGGCAGGGGGAGAGGGGGAGGGGGGAGGGGGAGGGGGAGTGGGAGGGGAGGGGGAGGCGGAGGAGGAGGGAGGAGGAGGAGGAGGAGGAGGAGGAGGAGGAGGGGAGGAGGAGGGGGGGAGGTAGGAGGAGGGGAGGAGAAGAGGAGAGGAGGAGGAGGAGGAGGCGGAGGAGGGAGGTGGAGGAGGAGGAGGAGGAGGAGGAGGAGGAGGAGGAGGAGGAGAGGAGAGGAGGAGGCGGTGGAGGAGGAGGCGGTGGAGTAGGGAGAGGGAGGTCAGATGTGGTTGGAGCGTAAGTCTGCCATGTTGCCCAGGATTGATGTAGCGTTTGTTTTTTCCTATGATCATGAGTTTGTCGTTGTGTTGCCGTCTGACGAGGAGCGTAGAAGAGCTGTAATTGCTTTGCTTGAGATCCCCCTCTGGCTGCAGCCCCAGATCCAAGAAACCATGGGGAAGCCCACGATCCTTGACGGTAGAATTCCGAAACATGTTGAACACATGTTAGCTGAATCCCAGCGTCGCGGGTGGTTCCAGGTTGGGCAAGCGGAGAAGAGAGCCATTGCGCTGAAGGGAGGCGGACTTTTGCTACGGAGTGCCGTTCAGCAAAGTTCTTGGGCAGATCAGAGATGAGCTGCTGGCCGCTACTTGCAGTGCGTGGCTCCGCCCGCTTCCGAGGCTGACCGCGCATGTTCCATCAGATCCGAGCCAGACGCAGGACTCTTGGAGGATACCACGTATGCCGATGACGCGAACTTTCCCAATGTTCGCGATTGCCACGACAGGATGGGGGATGCGATCAGGACGGCCTTTTTTCCCCGCGATTGTCAGCAAAGCTGCGGCGCATGGCCTTTCTATCAGTTCTTGTGGCGGGCAGGTCGCGGGCGTATGGGGCCAGCACGAGGTTTGAAAAAAACGAGTCGCTGTCGACTAGACATGTGTGGTTGCACTCCCATCAGCCCGAGGCCACTCTGTAAGAACGGTTTTTTGAAGGCAGATCTGCCTTCAAAAAATAGGAAAGACTGGTCTACTCTGTAAGAACGGTTTTTTGAAGGCAGATCTGCCTTCAAAAAACCGTTCTTACAGAGTAGACGAGTCCAGGTTGTCAAGGCCCAGACTCCTTCGGCGCCTGCTGGAGAAGGGCCGGCGCCCCGCCAGGCCACCAGCCCCGCCAGGCCCCGCCAGGGCGCGGCCCGGCGCGCCGCCAGGCTGCCGGCGCCGTGGCGGGAGCCGCGGCCAGATCAGCCCACAGCCAGCATGCGTCGGGTCCGTCGTGAGGCGAAGCTGCAGTATCATGCCTGCCCTGCAGAGGCCACTCTGGGTTTATCCATAAGCGTGGGGGGTACCCCCCCGACGGGGGTCAACTTCGCCTCATCGTCGCACCGCGACAGGGGTCGGAGCGCCTTCGGCGGGCGTTTGCTGCCCGCGACGGGGTCGACGTGGGACTGAAGAAACTCGGAGCACGGTGTTCTATGTTGTAGAAGTGCGGCATGTGATGCCCGACGAGTCCCTGCGAAAGCTTGCCAGCTCGCACTTGTTAGCTCCATCCGCAAGGCTCTCTCAGCGTGAAAGAAGCTCGTCGGGACGCGAGGGTGTCGGAGGCCAACACCATGCTTCTTAGCAGCAAGGCGCCACTGGACCATCCTTTGTCTTTCAGGAGGCTCCAGTAGTCGTCTCGGTTCCTTGAGCACGGACCGTGGCAACTGAGGGCAATGTTCGATGCCCACAGGGAGTTTGTTGGTAATTACGTGGCCCACGTCTTTTTCCGCAAAGATATGGAGTGGTTCAGTAGGTTAGTGGAGGAGGCTCCCAGGCAGATCGGACATGTTGGTCGGGGGTGTGTTTCGCTTGCTCGCGCGGCGCCTTGGCGGTCCCTCCAGTCTGTCAGAACGGCGTGACGTGCTAGAGCCTTTGGGCGCGAGAAGTACCGCGTGTCTGGGTGGAGGAGAGCTTGCCCAGGAGGCCGCTCCAGGGGCTCTGCCCACTCCCCCCCGCCGTCTGCCTGAAAATACCCCAAACATGCCCCGAAAATGTCAAGCATGTGCAACAAAAATAATCCCAGACTATTTTTGGAGTATCTTTGGAATATTTTGGGGGTATTTTTCATTTTTCGTCGAAAACCCCCCTGTAGGGGGACAGGCCCGACTTAACGTTAGCCGGGGGGGGGGGGCGGCAGGCCAGGGTACCTTCGCGCTGGGCCTTCCATGTGGGGTCCGCGCAGAGTCGGCGGGTCGGATCGCCTCGCCGTTGCGTCGCGTTGTCTCGTTTTCTCTTGAGCCAAGAAAGAAGCATCGGCGAAAAGGCGATTTGGGGTAAACCAAGTTTGGAATCGAGCTCCTATTCGAATGCGGGTCGATGAGCGCCCTAGTTTCCTGCAAAAAACCCTGGCGCCGACGCATCGGCGATGCGGCGCGATTCTCCGACCCCGCCTGTTCGGACCCCATCCATGAGGCCTCTGGTAACGATTCGCTCCTGGCGCCGTCTTGGAATGTCTGGGAATGCCCAGCAATCCGAGGCATCCCCAGACGGCGCCGGCGCGAATCGTGACGTTACCATTGGCCAGTAGCTGGCGTCCTCGCGAATAATGAAAAGATGGCCCCGAGGCGGACGAGTACTCGCTGGACGAGCCCGGCGGCCACTTCGAGGGCATCCACGCCCTCCTGCTGTGCCGGGTCCGCTGCGCCCCGCGCCAGAGGAGGATGGGGAGGAGGAGGAGGAGGAGGAGGAGGAGGAGGAGGAGGAAGAAGAGGATGAGGAGGAGTACGACGACGACGACAACGAGGACGAGGGCGAGGACGAATGCGAGGACGAGGACGAGAGTCGGAGGAGGAGGAGGAGGAGGAGGAGGAGGAGGAAGAGGAGGAGGAGGAGGAGGATTAGGATAAGGATTAGGATTAGGATAATGATTAGGATTAGGATTATGATGAAAACGAGGAGAAGGAGAAGGAGGAGGAGAAGGAGGAAGAAGTGGAGACCGGAATGGAAGAGGAGTAGGAGGAGGAGCAGGAGGAGAAGAAGGAGGAGGACGAGGATTTGACGTTTTGCGTTGCCTTTTGTCGGAACCTCCTGGGCGGCCCTCGTGGCCAAGGCCGGGAGAAAGCCGGAGGCCCTCGTGGCCCACGGAGGAGGAGTCGGAGGAATCGGTGGGAGGAGAGCCCAGCTGTCAGCGCCTTGGCATTACCCGGGAACGAGTCTACCCGACCTTTGTCTTCACACGTAGCGACGATTTTGCGGGCGAATCTGTTTTCCGCCGCTTCTTGACCGTTTTTCTCGAGGTCCATCCAGTTCTGACCCCCCGGCCGCAATAACACCCCAGAACTTTCTGGATTACTTGTAGCCTCCGCAATTGCGGATAAGAGTTCAGTCGGGCATGTCCTTCTGCAGGGGGAGAATGCAAACATAGCAAATCAATAGTTCGGGGACGATCTTCCTACTATGTTTGACTATGTATGAATATGTGTTGACTTTTTTGATGGTTCCCAACCATCCTGTGGTATTGGGTCTTCGTTTTGAAGGGACAGCGCCCCGCGTCCCACCTCCTCCTCCCCCTCCTCCTCCCGTCATCATCATCGTCATCATCACCATCATCGCCATCATCACCATCATCGTCATCATCGCCGCCATATTCACCATCATCGGCACTCATGTCGGCACACCCCTCACACGGGTCGTGGTCCCATAGGGAGCTCCATTTAAGGCCCCAATGGCGACCTTCTCATGCGTCCGCGCCACCCATTTTGGCACACCCCTCACACGGGCCGTGGCCCCATAGGGAGCTCCACTCACGGCCCCAGTGGCGACGTTCCAATGCTTCCGTGCCACCCATTTCGACACACCCTTTGCACGATTAATGGCCCCTGGGGGAGTTCCACTTACGGCCCCCATGGCGACGTTCCCATGCTTCCGCGCCGCCCGTTTTGGCATACCCCTGACGGTTCGTGGCCCCATGGGGAGCTCCATTTTCGGCCCCAGTGGCGACGTGCCCATGCTTCCGCGCAACCCATTTCGGCATACCCCTCACACGGTTCGTGGCCCCAAGGGAGTTCCACCGAAGGCCTCAGTGGCGACGTTCCCATGCGTCTGGGCCACCAATTTCGGCACACCCCTCACACAGGCCCTCGTTGTATACCGCCTTGCGAGTCGTGGCAAGAGCCGATAGGGGTGAGAATCTGGGCGAAGGCGTGAGGTGGAACGAGCAGGGGTGGGGACTGCATAAGGGGGGGAAACGTTGACCTGGAATCGACGGTACATCGCCGATAGAGCATAGGCTCTCGATTGCGAGACCGCCAGCGGGGAACCCTGCTGCACGACCACGACTACCAGACTGGTCACGGTTCGATGTACAAATCAGCCTACAAAAAATACGAAGCCTTGACGGTTCGTGGCACCGTAGAGGGTTCCACTCAGGGCGTGCTCATGCGTCCGCGACGCCCATTTCGGCACGCCGCTGACACGGTCCGTGGCACCATAGGGTCTCCACCAAAGGCCCCAGTGGCGACTTTCACATGCGTCCGCGCGATTCATTTCGGCACACTCCTCACACGGTTCGTGGTCACTTAGGGAGCTCCACTTGAGGCGCAAGAAGCGACGTTCCCATGCGCCCGCGCGACCAATTTCGGCACACACCTCACACGGGTTGTGGGCCCATAGGGGAACTGCACTTGCGGCCGCAGTGGCGAAGTTCCCATGCGTCCGCGCCACCAATTTTGGCACACCACACACGGTTCGTGGCCCTTAGGGGAGTTCCGAATTAGGCCCCAGTGGCGACGTTCCCATGCGTCCACGCGTCACAGCACACCCCTCACACGGTTCGTGGTTCCTAGGGTATCCTTTTTTAATGCCCAAATTGCGACATTCCCATGCGCCCAAGCCGCCCATTCCAGCACACCCCTCACACGGTTCGTGTTTCCATAGGGAGCTCCATCGAAGGCCCCAGTGGCGAGGTTCCCATGCGCCCGAACGATCCATTTCGGCACACCCTTCACACGGTTCGTGGACCCAGGGGGAGCTCCTCCGAAGGCCCCAGTGGCGACTTTCCCATGTGTCCGCGATTCATTTCGGCACATCCCTGACACGGCTCGTGGCCCCATAGGGAGCTTCACCGGAGGCCTCAGTGGCGACGTTCCCATGTTTCCGCGCCACCCATTTCGGCATACCCCTCACACGGCTCGTGGCCCCAAGGGAGCTCCACCGAAGGCCTCAGTGGCGACGTTCCTATGCGTCCGGGCCACCCATTTCGGCACATTCCTGACACGGTTCGTGGCCCCATAGGGAGTTCCACCCAAGGCCCCAGTGGCGACTTTCACATGCGTCCGCGCGACCAATTTCGGCACATCCCTCACACGAGTCGTGACCCTTAGAGGAGCTCCACCGAAGGCCCCATTGGCGACGTTTCCATGCGTCCGCGCGACTCATTTCGGCATGCCCTTCACACGGTTCGTGGTTCCATAGTGAGTTCCACCGAAGGCCCCAGTGGCACCACCCTCATGTACGCGACATCATGTTTCGGCACACGCCCGTCACACGGTTCGTGGCCCCATAGGGAGCTCCACCTAAGGCCCCAATGGCACCACCCGCATGTGGGCGACACCCCGCTTCGGCACACCCCTCGCACGTTTCGTGTCCCCATAGGGAGCTCCACCTAAGGCCCCAATGGCACCGCCCGCATGTGGGCGACACCCCGCTTCGGCGCATCTCTCACACGTTCCGTGACCCCATCGGGAGCTCCACCTAAGGCCCCAGTGGCACCGCCCTCATGTGGGCGACAACCCGTTTCAGCGCATCTCTCACACGTTCCGTGACCCCATCGGGAGCTCAACCGACGGCCTCAGTGGCACCGCCCGCATGTGGGCGACATTCCGTTTCGGCGCACACCTGACACGTTTCGTGGCCACACAGGGAGCTCCACTGAAGTTGCATATGGTTCGGGTTTTCGCTAGACTAATTCTTCCAACATCTGCCTGTAGGAGGACACGCCCGACCTAAACTTGGTTCGTGCCTTCGTAGGACCGCGCTCCGCTGGACCTCCCAGAAGATCACGAACAGTGGCGACCGGTGGCGCAGTTGGCACCGTCCAGGGGTGGCAAGGCCCAGGCCAGATCCGTGCAGGATCGTTCTCCGCCAGACCTCCTCCCAGTACGTAGCTCACGAAGGTGGCGACGGTTGCGCAGTTGGCAGCGCTCAGGCAGCGGAGGTGTAACGTCGGTCCGTTCAGCACCGCACTCCGCTGGACCTCTCAGGCCAGGAGCGCACCAATAAGGCGAACAGTGGCGCAGTTGGCAGCGCCCTGGGAGGCGATGTTTGGTTTGGGTCCGTGTATCACTGCGCTCCACTGGACCCCCCCAAGAGCTCACGAAAATGGGGAGGTCTTATTTTGCTGCTTTTAGCACAGCATTTCGCTGCACCCGTCAGGAGCTCAAGAAAAGTGGCAACGGGGGCGCCGTTGGCGGGAAGCGATGATGATGCAGGTAGGAAGCACGGAGGACGCGAGGAGGCGGAAGACACGGAGGAGGACCAGGAGGGGGAGGCGGAGGAGGAGGAGGAAGACAGGGAGGAGGAGGAGGAAGGAGGGCGGAGGAGGAAAAGGAGGAGGAGGCGGAGGAGAAGGAGGCGGAAGAGAAGGAGGCGGAAGAGAAGGAGGGAGAGGAGGAGGGAGTGAGGAAGACAGGGAGGAGGAAGAGAAGGAGGAGGAGGAGGCGGAGGAGGAGGCGGAGGAGGAGGAGGAGGCGGAGGAGGAGGAGGAAGACATGGAGGGGAGCAGCAGAGCCCTGTGCTTCTCAAAACGAAGGTCCAACACAGGAGGTCCAGGATGATCTTAAGTCGGGCGTGTCCCTCTACAGCGGGAGTATTCAAAAAAAAAGGCAAAAACTAGTTTGTGGACGATCATTATGTTTTCTATTATTTTTGAACATGGTTTGAGTATTCCTTATTTGTCATCCAACATACGATTGTGTGAGCCGCTGCCTGCTGCCCCGGGGGACAGCATTTGGGCGCGCGCCAATAAAGAAGCGCCTCAGAAGCGGAACCTTGTCCTTGGGAAAAAGGGGTCGAGAGTTTTGGGAGCCCCCGCACTCGTAAAAACGACGGCGTCGGACGTCGTGGGAAGGAAGAGGCATGTAGATGGCTTGTGCCTTTTTGGGGCCGCCATTGCCACTGCTGGACGAAGCTCGGAAAAATGGTCGGGATGACAGAGGCGGGGTCTGGGGATACAAGTTGACTGAGAATCGAGGTGCATGTTTATCACGACGTCGCCCCCATCCGTGCAAGGGTGTCTGAAAATACCATTGTGTATGGCGCTAAGACGAGAGCATCATGTTGGAGTCGATGCGCCTCCGTTCGTACAAGCGTTAGAAGTTTCCAGCTTCAGGGCCACCAGTCGTGAGACAGCCTCACGGGAGAAATGCCTTGGACGCCCCACCGGCACGCCTCGTGGTGCGACCAGCGGGAACGGCATTGCAGGACGAGGGGATGGTGGAGAGGGGATGGAGCAGGAGAGGACGGTGCTGCTGGCATCGCTCGGACGTGTGCCTCTTCTCCCTGCGAGGTCCCTCGAGGAGCACGCGGGGCCATCTTTCTGCAGCGCGCGCGCGCGCGAATCCGAGGAGTGCACCGGCCACGGGCGTCCGAGCGCTCGGCGAGAGTCGAAGAGGAACAAGAACCGCCACGAGCATAA